GTGTCTGCTAAATCGAGATATCTAATTCAATGACCCCTATCTGAACTACTTAGACAGGTGACAGGCAGCAGATATTGTTTTGATATCCTATTGTAAACACTTTTCACTTGTTATTATTGTGCTTTGCAGATGAAATGTCGCTCGGTTTTATGGCCTAGATCGCGCATGGCTGGCGCATAAAAACAGGAAAAACTGAAACGTAAAACTGATATAGGAAAGACATGCCTGGAATTATTATATCTGCACTTTCGAAAACGAAAAAAGGGTTGTTTTAAAAAATATCGATATCGATGTCGATTTGTCGTAAATCGACCACGAGCGCTTGTCGTAGCTCGATTTATTAGCCACTCTAACTCGATCTATCCCTTTTTATAACCTCGATAAATAAAATGACTTCAGTTTATTAAAATCGAGCACCCACCCTACCGGTAGTGATAAGCTTTGCAAAGCACAATATTGTGCTTTGCAGACGGAATGTTCATCCGTTTTTTAGCCTAGATCGAGCATGATCAGAGCATAAACCCACGCGTAAAAATGGGATGGGAAGAGGCAAGCATCGATTTGTTTTATCTGTGATCGAATTACCATTTCAAAACGGTAAAAATGATCAATTTACGGGATATCGATGTGGATTAGGTGTTAGATCGATCTGGAGCGGTCGATTTGGCTATCGCAGCTTGATTTACATGTATCAGCCATTCTAGCTTGATCGATTTGTACTTTTTATAGACCTTGATTTAATAAAACGACCTCTATATATTATAAATCGAGCATCAGGCTAAGTGAAAAGGACAAACGCATTGAAATGCACAATATATGTTGGGACTTTAGGTTCTGCAATGGTACTGTCCAATCGCAAAATCCATATGGAGTCCTATACCGGAAAGGGCGATCTGTTCTCGAGATTTTATATCCAAGGTTCGAGATCCAAAACTACCTATACGCATATCCCAAACGAACGTTTTCAGCACAAAACTTAAAAAAATTTACGTCAGCAATTGACTTGTCGTACCCAAAATAGTGGGCTTCTTCTGTAAACGTATAGCCTGTTACTTCAGCTTGTATTAGAAACATCATTTTTACTTTAATTAAGAAGAATGTTAATATATACCGGTAACTGAATATCCTCTGTGTTGCCTGTGTCGGCAAAAACATGCAGAAATTAGGGATCATCCTCAAGCAGCTGCATGTACATCACCCACTCGCTGGGCTTCCCTAGTCGATGCGCGCAGTCGCGATCAAAACCTGAAGGAGAGTTAGGCTGCATCCTGGTCGCTTGACGAAAGGGGTTAGCTATTTTTGGGGTCGTTTACGGGTAGGGCCTGATAATTGGGTCAGGCGGGTTTCCTGACGGCCCTACCAAACACAGGACCAATTGCTAAGCTACATATTGAAGTGAAAGATATGAAGCTAAGCAGTTGGGTTAAAATGCTTAGACCACGATGGTCTGCGCGGCACGAGGTTGGTCGGCTTCAGTGTCGCATTCATCGGCATCACTGTCATTGCTGATCACATCTGCGCCCAAATTCGTAGCAGCAGCGTCCTCTTCGCTGCTAGTACCAGAGACGCCCTCGTTGTCATCATCACTGTCGACATCTACAGCCTCGTCATCTTCTTCACTGCTCGATTCTTCTTCTTATGTAGGAGGATCCTGTTGGAAATGGAACCTGACCCAATAATCAGGCCTGACCTGTATACGACCCCGTTAAAATTCTACCACGAAAGGTACACTTCATTTTATAAAGCAACCTTATTGTGCTGGTGGGGGATCATCATACGAAAAAGTATTGATATGCGCTCAATGGAGGTTATAAAAAGAAAAGTAAAACTCAATTAGAAGACGCCGAAAAGAGCATTCCTTGCATGATACAGATTCAGAGAGCTGGGCTGCATCGTGTCTGTGGCACGTCATGTACGGTACAACACGTGAGCTGGACACGTACATGTATTATATTAGCAATAATATAGGTTTAGCAGATCATGATACGATTGGATCAACGCGCTCACCAAGTGCAGCATCGAGTGGGGGTGCCTACACCTTCCAGTACGTCAGAGAGAAGCGCTTCAGCTAGACTACTCTTGTTAATGATGCCGTTCGGTTATTGATTTAGGAATGGGTATGCCATTTGTCGCTTCCAGATAGTTGATTTAAAAATCTATGGAGATCGGGTCCCCAGATCGATCGAGGGTAGAATACCACGATATCGTTTTACGTAATGCTGATTCAGTATTAATAAAACGAAAATGACTATGAGTACAAAACATACGGAGTGATGACCATTCTTTGATTTTACCGGTACTCAGATTTTGTGTACTACCGGAACATGTAATATGGTCCTATTAATACAGCTCGTAGTTCGAGGAAAAAAAAACCAAGTCTCAATGCGATTAGCACTGCCGGACGATTGTCACGGCTTTTTCTTTAAAAAACAATGAGCGTGCGGTTGTGTACATGGACTTGGTTGCTATTCGCTTAAATCTACCGGTAATAAATCTAGACTCACAGCCAGTTCAATAGCATACAAAACTCAATCGTGAGCTTTTTTTGTTAGAATGTAGCATGTACATCCGGTCAACACGTCCGTCCGGTCGTTCTGTGGTAATCACAGTGTGATTATCATCCCCCTGTAAGGGCTCTGGGAAGAACTATGGAGCTCGAGCTTAGGGAGCTCGAGGTACCCAAATTTAAAAATATTGCTATTTGATGTACTCAAATGCATTTTGTGTTTTAAACATAGTTGTCAGGTTGGACTTTAATTGAGCTGCCACAATATCAGCACAGCTACATTTTGCAGCACGTCCGAGATGACAGTGATGATTACAAGAAGTTCTCCATTGGGGAAGCTTCGGGATTAAAAAAATATGCTTATCACTTCTCTTCTTCAAAGTCAGGTTTAATTACAGTCATTTAGCTGTCCTAACGACCACATTAATACTTGTCACTACTCCAAAGCAGGACATTTTTTTTAAAACTTTTTTTGGCTGCATGAATTCCATTCATTTATTTAATGAGCTTGGGAGGTAGACTATTCTATAAAATGCAATACGCTTCGACTCGATGCTGCGGCATTGCTGTATACCAGACCTGTTCTCCGCATAAGTGCCCCTCCTCGTCCACGGACCACTTCGTAGGTTTAGATAGCACTAGAGTAGTCTATTATTCTTACTTGTGGTATTTTGTGTATCTTAGCAGTCTATGAGGGTATGCAGCATTTGTTACGTAGTCGATGAGCACTTTGCGTCATTGGAGAGGTCAGACCATTCTTCTTCAGAGGTTAGTGGATGAACGGGATAATACTACTTAAGTTTCTACCAGTGCTGCTGTGGCTGATGAAGGAATAACCCTGACAAACACCATTAACCCTTAGACAAACACCATTTACAAAAGAAAATCAAGGAAAGCTCCAGATTTCCTACAGAGCTATAGGTATACAAGAGCGAAGCGCTTTATAAATGCTTGCTACGGTGCAGGATATCCTAAGGCGCTCCGCCGAAAAATCTAGGAAGCGCACTATCAAAGGCCCATGGCTACTTGTAAGTCAGCTAAACTAAACACTACACAATTAAGTTTTCATGTGTCAGCGTACGATTTGTTGGTCTAGCTCGCATTAAAAAACGCCTACACTTGCTCTAGAATGGGCAATTGTCGCCTCATTCAGGGTGATCGATGTATCACTCTTATTAAGCCACCGCCTAGCAAAGCTGAGGCGTAATATGGCTTCGTGATATATAACAATACATCTCCGCTGTAACTACCTGAGCGAGGCATACCGTATTCTCTTGGTCCAGCTCACGACATTGCAATTCTATGAGGGTCTACAGGCTGTAGTACATCGAGACCTTTGGATCATTTTTTGAGTACATCAAAAAGCACTATTTCTAAATTTGGGTACCTCGAGCTCCCTAAGCTCGAGCTCCATAGTTTTTCCCAGGGCTCTACGATAGAACCCCACCCCCGGATATACTATCCGGGGTGGGCTTATCTTGAGATGGGATCGCCAAAGCGCCCCGAGCTTTGGCTTAAAGTTTAAGCGCCCTACAAGCTAGCCCCCTGGATGCGGAAGGATCTCTACTTTGTGTGAGGTCAGAATCCAAGTCACTCCACCAACTCAAGGCCTCTAGAATGCGTTTTAAACGCAAGAAAACTTAATTATACTAAATAGGATTTGACACCGAATTTGCCTTCCAAACGAGGCAGGGAGCCACTCTCATTTTGATAAATACGAGCTTCGTTGTACATGTAGGCTACATGATGTAGCACCCTCGGGATAATTGTCTCACCAGAGAAAGAACGCTTACTGTTCTTCCCGCCTTTGGCTTTGCTGCTGGCACGGTATGATACCATAGAACTTCTATTAGAAGGCCATACATGAATACTGTACCTATCTTCTATGTAGCCGGTAAAGACCCCAAAACTTATTCACAAACCCGTGTTTCATGGAGAAGCTCTGGATTATACTAATGTGTAGGGCTTAGCCACAAGTAAAAGGTACTTTTCAATTTGTTCTATATAATGTTTACAGTAACATCAGCTCCCATGCTTCCCTTATTGATGCATTACTGTATACTACTACTGCAGTCCTGTATACCGAAGTAAATACGCGATGACACTGTGCGGGTCGCACTGCGACCACAATAGAGATATTGGCGGTATAGTATGTCCTACGCATGTGCTGCACCTACTCCACAGCCGCATCATCTGCGTGGAAGCTGAAGTAATTTACAGTGATGTTACCAACTTAACGCGAGTGTATTTACCTAAGGGTTGATGCTTAAAAGTTCAATTATTTTAGTAAGCTTTAAAAAGAGCTTACAAAATAAACCTTCTCTCGAATTTTCACTTATAATAATACAGTACCAACACAGCTCATGATAATCTGGCTAGTTACATGAAAAGTTCTTGCCCCCGACCTCGGTCGAGGTGTACCCGCTTGTCATTTCGTAATTCATTCTTCAGACACCAGGACTATATCTACAGAACTCAGCAGAAGTCCCTTGCGATGATGCATCTCTTTTCAGTCGTATTGCTGGTTGTTGCCGCATCTCTAGCGTGCGCCGCAGAGGACACAGCCTCGATGAGGTTCCCACGCGGTTATCTAGATGAGAAAGACAGTGCTCCTGCTCAAAGATTCTTGAGGGTCTACGACAACGAGAATGACGAGGAGAGAGTTCCTGTTGGTAACGTCTTAAATTCTATTATGACCAGTACATTGAATGCCGTCGAGTCCGCTAAGCTGAAGGTGTTTTTGCTCCAGAAAAGTAGTGGAGTTGACGTTTTGAACAGCTTAAAACTCGGGGACGATGCGGCAGCTGCTCTGAAAAACTCAAAGCTGGAGACTTTGAATAAGTACGTCACGAGGTTTAACCAGGAGAATCCGGACAAGACAATCTCACTGGTTGGGACCCTCACGACCCGCTACGGAGACGATGCTTTGGCGAAAGCGTTAGTAAGTGCCCAAACGCATGCAAAGTCTTCAGCTGAGATGGTGACGATGGCGAAGAAGCTGCGAGCTGAACAACTGAGTGCCTGGCTGGGCGGCGGTAAATCTGTCGAAGATGTTTACGCTTTGCTCAAGCTTGATGAAGACGGGTATCTAGCGCTCACAAGTAGAAAGTTGGATGTACTGGATGATTACATTGTGAAGATCAACAGCGAGAAAAACGGCCAGGAAACTTTGCTCAAGACCTTGACGAAGGAGTTTGGCGGTGAGAAAAAATTGAGGGCGATTCTAAACATAGCAGGACTGAGCTACTTCACACATGTGAAGGCTTTCGAGCTAAAGAAGCTCATAGAGTGGAAAAACAGAAACTCGGAACCAGCAGCTGTCATGAAGCTGCTAAATCTTGATAACGATGTGGGTAAGGCTTTAAAAAGCACAGAACTGAGAAGGCTTGATGAGTACATAATCGACTTCAACCTCAAGAACCCAAACAATCAGGCGACGCTGCTTAGGACGCTCACGAAGAAATACGGCGAGTCTGGTGTGGCAAAGGCGATTGTGTCTGCAGTCAAGGATGACAATATGCTCGCTAAACGCCTGCAGAACCAACAGTTTGAGGATTGGTTGAAAAAGGACATGTCTGTGGACCAAGTTTTCAACGTTCTAGATTTTAAGAGCGCTGGTATTGGAGCTGTTATCAGCCGAAACGTGGACACTTTGGACAAGTACGTCACGCTATACAACAGAAAGACATCAGCAGACGAAACGTTGGTAGGCGCATTCGTGAAGGCTTTCGGCAAAAAGCAGTTGGGCAATATGCTGCAACGTTTTCCCGATACAGATAAATACTCAGCAAAGTTACGCACGCAATTCAGGGAGCTAAACTGAGGCGGTTAAGCAAACGCAGCAGACGAAAGTAAGCAACGTACAGAAATGGATGATTCATGGCTCAACATCACTTCTGGTTTTTCTAACTAACATCTTGCGCCCAATTAATTATTTTTCTTTTTAGCTTCCATCGAGGAGGTAGGTCAAGTATGTAAGGACTCATCATCAATGTTCCACTCATTTCCGTGAAAATGCAATATTTAAAAGTCGATCAATTTGGACTAAAGAATCCTACTACGTAGTACTAAAGTAGTAGTTCTTGGTTCCTATTAATAAAATCATATTTGTATTTCACTACGCGCATTCGTCCATGTTATGTTGCATGACGCGGCGATTTTGCTCGACGTTGCTGAGAAAATACCCTAATGCTTGTGTCATTGGCAGTGCCTGCTGTCACACCTGATAAACCGCCTATGACATATTAATTGAACAATATAAACATCTGTACGTGAGGAATGTAAGGCCGTGTTTGATTTAAGCTAAAACCAGCTGTAATTGGTATTAAAGAGCTGGAATGTCTCAACCAGCTTTATTCCGCTAAGAAACACAAAAAATGACATCCAGCAGGATAGCTCCAAACGACTGGTTTCAAAATTTAGCTCTGGGTTGAATTTTGAATCCTCCTGCTTTGCGCCTTCAAATCCAGTCTTTTTCTGATGGAACACGATCACTTATTTTATCTTTATTTTACTTAACAAAACGACTGTTCTACAGCTCTAGCTTATTTTCGAACAAGCTGGATTTGCCTCTGCAAGCCGAACACGGCCTAACAGAATTATAAAAAATTGATTTTTTTTTGAATGAACGTTTGCCCGTGTGGTAGAAAATATAGAGTACGAGCGAATCGCGCCTACTTTATCTTATCAGCATTTCTTAAATTGTCGCGTTAAAAACCGAAACCTCCGCGGATGTAGCGACCTGGTTTGGGTCTGGGTTTTAAGCGTCCCCATCAGCTCAATTTACTAGTCATCGTCTTCATCAACCAAACTATCCACTACATCACCGCCGCTACCTACTTTTGAGAGTAATGAACATTTTTCGAGCTCTGCAACAACTTCATTAACCTCCTGCTGAATGTCCGGGCTGTCTTCAGCGTCAGCAGCATCGTCACCGTCGCCAATTTGACATTTCGTAAAGCCATTCCGTATCATCGATGCCGGAATAGCATTCCAAGCGCTAGCAATCCATTCGGTGATTGTGCTACGGCTTGGTGCCATAAGATCAAACGGAACAGATGCCTGTTCTACGTTAGCGTTGTGCTTGGCCAGTTGATCTCGAAGGTAGGTGGTCCAGTGGCGTCAAAGTCGGTCCTTTATAGGCTTGCTCCACCGCAGCTCTGACGCTAGTGCTGTGAGAGAACTGTAGAACTCTCCGTTTAACCTTTTTGTGTATGCTTTACGTTCAAAACGAACGGCTTGACGGCCGTTTCCACGAGCGCGTAGGCAGCCTACGTGCGCTCGCAAAGTGGTCGGAGTCAAACAGGTTGCGAATTCGACAATGCCATTGCGTGCTGTCCAGCAGTAACTACGTTTCTCTTGGTGTTCATTTACGCTCTTGTGGATTTAAATATTTAATTTTTACCGTAATGTGTTTTGGTAAATACGATGTGCCGAAAAAATCAACTTCCGGGGCTACCGCCTATGACATCCTACCGCTAATGACATAAGCATTAGGGTAGTACGAGCAAATCCTGGTGCTTTACTTCAAAATTAAATGATACTTTAGTTTTTGACCTGTTATAAATGTTGCTTAAATCACAAGAAAATGAAAATAGTTTAAAAACTCGAAAAATATCCGACTAACGCATCTACTGCGCGTTTCACATCCACGTGCTGTCAACAATTTTTGTATATTTCTCCCGTAGGAGCAACAGTATTTTGTCGCTAGTAATATTAGTGGCGCCAACGTATCTTACTAAAAAAATAATTAAAGGTCGAAGTCAGTGAGGTTTGGTCTGTTGAATTGCTGCTTGAGCTCTTGGAGGCAAATGCCGAAGTGAGTATATAGCTCTAGCGGAAACTCACCAACATGTCTTTCTAAACACAATCCCGCTGCTCTTCCCTTTGTTGTCTTCTTGTACGTGTTTGTGTAAGCACCGCTCCTGTCATACCTCAACCATCCATCCCGTAACTTCTGGCTAGTGTCCGAACACATCCCTTTCTTGTTGGGACGTAATCTGATCTGGAGCAGAACGGGGCAGACCGTAATCCGATCCGCTAGCCGGACTGTAACCGAATCGTGCGATGACAGCGTACTTCAACACTCCCATCCGCCGTTACTGCACGAGGACCTTCTCCTTAATACCGCTTGCGCCACGCAGATACTTCTGTGTCTTGGTCCCGATCCCTTTGTTAGCATGTCGAAAACTTGACGCATGGTATCAACACAGTCCAGTTCGACCGTTCCCCGTTCTACGTTCTCGCGCGTGATGTGGTGTCTGATGTCCACGTGGTAAGTCCGCGCGGTATATCCAGCGCTCCGAGCCAACGTAATTGAACCCTGATTATTTCCTCAGACAAGTGTCGCACCTCTTGTTCGTGACCCATGTCCTCAAACATAGCTCGCGTCTACAGCACTACTTGCGTACACAGGCTCAGACCCATGTACTCCGGCTCAGACGAGCTAAGCGCGTCCGTCCTTTGGAACTTGAGCACCACCGATCCATCTCCGATCATCACCATGACCCCGGACACCGAGCGCCTATCGTTCGCCAGTCTGTGTTCAAGAACGCGAATCTCTCGATCTTATCTGGCCCACAGGCTTCAGTCCCGCGATATTTTGTTCTGGCAATTTCAGTCCCACGGTTCCGTCCTGCCATTTCCTGTCCTGGTATGGCCTGTCCAGGTATACAATACTGTGCTCACGCGGCGGCTTTTAGTACGTCAACACTCGGATAGCTGCCCGCCTATGCTGAATTCAAGAGTTCTCGAGGAACCGTGACAGCTACGTCACCTCGTACGCAATGTCCGGCCGAGTACATGCTGTAATGTAAGGTAGACAACCAATTACGGACCGGGGAGGTTTGGACCGCATTTCCGTCCGTACTTCTTCTATCTCAGGGGACTGCAGCTTGGTCAACGTCAGATTTACTACACACGGATTGTATACAGCCTTTGCGTTCTGCTTGCCGAATTGCTATGCCACATCATCGATGTATCGCGAATGCTTAATCATGAGCGTCCGTTTCGTTCTGTTGTGGTGGATCTCCATCCCGAGAATGTATCTGGCCGTGCCTAACTCCTTCATCTTTGAAACGGGGAATTTAGTGGCATCTTTCCTTCTTGAATCTCGTCATGGGTATTGGTAGCAATGATCATTTCTTCCACAAACAAGCACACGTTGGTGAGCTCGTTTCTGAAACGCTTCACGTAGAAACACTGTTCTGCGCCCCAGCATTTAAGCCCGTTCTCGGCAAAACGTTGATGGATCATCCTATTTTACGAACTTGCGGCTTGCTTCAGATCGTAAATAGCCTTGTTCAATAAACAATCGGGGTCGCATGCTCCTTTAGCGCACAATGGGATCTTCACGTAAACGCGGTCTTTCAGCACGCTGTTAAAACACGCTGTGGCCGCGTGCCATTGCTCCATTACGTATCCGACCGAAACCCATACGGGAGGTACCGTTTGAATCGAGTTCATGATTGCTACATGCGAGTAAGTTTCAAAGAGGTCTATCTCGATCTTCGGTTTTAACCTTTTCGCAACCAGACCTGCCTTGTATCACTGATCCGATCTCTTTTCGCTTCTATGAAAAGACCCATGGCCCCTATAAGCCACATCTCCGTTCTGCGTGGAGCGATCGTCCACGTTCCGTTCCGTTCCGTTCGTGAGAGAGTAGCTCGACACGCGTCCACATCCTAGCTAGATATCGCCTGCACATACATATTGGGTGGGTCCGTCGTGTCACTATTCTCGCAGCATATACCAGTACTGTCTCACCAATTAGTCCGTCCTCGTCAATTCGGGCTCTCTTCGGTGATGAAGGTCCATCACTCTCTTTCGATTTTCGCTCTTCGTCAAATTCCTGTCGGTCTTCAAGTAGTAGGACGGGATCACGACCCTGTCGCGTCCGTTCCAATTCGGGACGAAAATTCAACCTCGCTGATCGTGTGAAACGATCTCCCTTAGCCCCAAGCCTGTCGAGGGTTCTACTGACAGCAGCGATATGTTCGTAATCGCGCCTCGCGTACGTTCCACCTCATCCATGTCAATGTCCTGGATGGGCTCCTCGATATCTTTCATCGGGTCGTCCTGCACGTATCTTGTTCCGTCCGGTCCGTCCGGGTTGGAACGCGATTTTCATCAGATTCCTAGGTTATCTGAATATTAGTCCTTTTTTCTGGGACGGATGTATCGTATAAATGTATTCCGTCCGCTTCTCGCTCGCCCAGTTGAACCGACCGCAACTTTGACGTTTGGTCGTTCCAAGTTATATACGCGGTATCCTTTCACATTCTCCGGGTACCTGAGAAACATGCACCTGAAGCCCTTTGGTTTCATCTTCGGCCTCTTCGCGTCGTCGACATGAGCGTAGCCCTGGGATCTTAACACCTGCAAGTGGTTTATGCATGGAATCTGCTTGAATCCCAACTCATATGACGCTATCGTCCCGGTCGACGTGTTGATCGACTGACTAATCAGCTACAATGCTGTACTTACTGCTTAAACTCACCATTCCTTAGACACGCTTTTGTAGCTCAGCATACGCCGTGCCTTTTCCAAAAATCATACGGCTAGTCCGTTCAGCCTCTCCGTTCTACTGAGGGCTGTCTGATACACGACCCCGTTCATCATGCATATCCCAGCAGCCTTTTTATTCATCACATTCGTCCCGTTATTCGACCTTAGACACCTTAGTCGCTTTCCACTTTGGTTCTCGTAGAGCGTCTTGAACTTGGTCCACTTTACGACCACTTCGCTCTTGTTCTTCAGGAAGTCCGCTACCACGTTTCTTGAGTAATTGTCTACCAGCGTCAGGATGTACCGTCCGCCTCCCTT